TGTTCGTTCCCTGGTTACTGCCAGAGAAGCACATATGCTTAAAGTTGGTTTTATACCTAGCCATGGTCATAATGACCAACAAACAAGGCCACGTCCCTGCTCTACCTATATCATGGTTGGATTCACCTGTTTTACAAATTCTAGGATAATCTTGGAGAATTGAGAAATATAACATAGTGATCAATATATAGACAATTCACAGAGTTATTCACCCTGTGAATATCTGTGAACATTCATTTTGTGTGAATAATAACAAAAACAAATGTTTGTAATATATTTTCTTTTCAGGTCAAATGTATTGTGATGTAATACTGCATTATGGCCACTAGATGGAGCCGAGTGGTTAGTTCCTATGGTTCTCTGCGCCATCTAGTTGCCATAATTCACTATTACATTACAATACATTTGACATGAAAAGAAAATATATTTTAGGAATGTTTGTTATTGCCATTATTTGGCACAAAACGAAGGTACACAGATATTCGCAGGCCAAATTGTTTATAAATAGACGCCACAGTGTTTTGTGTGATGCTATTGTTCTCTGAATTGGGCTATATTCAGTCATGAACAAAAGAAGCATTACTGAGAAGATATGAATTAACTGTTTATTATAATGTACAGGTATCTCTGGTAACTGAATAAGGTAGCGAGCCTGCAGGATATTGACTGTATATTCTAAATAATACCTTTCATGGAACCAACATGCATGCCTGCTCATTATAGCTAAGCTTGCCTCTGGTCACATGTAACCTAGATTACGCCTCTGCAGTTACATGAGTGGAAGAGTTACCACTATCCCTAGAACTGCACTTGAAACACCTCAGTATGAATATTCAAAATCTGTGGATAGAGATAAGAAGCTGTGCCAAGGTATAGACTGCAAAGAGAATAAACCTTATCCAACACCCAGCAACATATTTTAAAGCGGTAAGGCTGAACTCTAAACAGCTACATGCAGAGTTGAAATACTTAAAGATGAACTGCTTTGTCTGCCAAACGATTTGCAGCTTATTTCAGCCATTCTTGTGACATGGAGACTCCTGCTCACTGCATAGGTAGGTAAGTGACCTCACAATTATATTACAAATAAGCAATACAGTTTGGTAACGGATCCACCCCCTCATTCTGATTGGACTATAAAGGGGAAGCACACCACTTCTGAGGTCATGCCATCCCCTTCTGTAGACTAGTTAATTTTGCTTGAAAATTTCATAGATTGCAACACACTGCTTTTCACAAGAGAAATGACTGACTTACAGTGCTGGTTCTACCTCTCAATCTATGTCCTGGTGTGCAAGGAGCTAAGGGAAATTAATATACAATTATGGAAATGGATTTCATGTACTTAATAGCAGTATTTTAAATTAAATAATTCTGTTGTAAAGATGACAGTCGGCTCTACAAGTTTAAACAGACTCCCGGCGGCAAAAGTCACCGGGAGTCTGTTTAAACAGCCCCGATGCTGGCGACGTACACTGTACGTCGTCAGTCACGAAGGGGTTAAAGAATACATATTTGGATTGAAGGGTGGTATTTTTTATAATTGGTCTCAATAGCACTATGCTTTGAGATAGCCTGCGCATGGTGGGTATCATTTAGTAGGGTTTAATTCAGTCATAATTTAGTTATTAAACCTTCAGTCTAGTGTTATTGTACTAATACACATCTTGATTTGCAAGAAGAGTATCTTGTTTCTGATCTGATGATGACTGAGTAATGTAAAACTAATTACATCCCAAACCAAATCATATCCTTGGAAATTAAAATGAAGACTTGATTGATCAAGTTCTAGGAGGGTCATATTGATTAGAGATGGTTAGAGTGACCTTCTCTGTATGTGCATAGTCAGCCTTTTTTCTGTGGGTTATAAATGCAGAAGACAACAAAGTAAAGCCCTGTGTCGGCTTGTGCCAATGATATCAGTTTGCGATGCTTCTGAGATCATTCAGAATTCATTGAAAGGTGCAGTTGACCTCCTTCTGACCTGCATTATACTTACTTCAAGCTGGTTTTGCATTCCCCTAGAGTTGTATAGGAATGCAAAACTCATTTGAAGCCAACAAAAGCACATTGACCCAGGCCCTAATATAGTTTTTCTGTGTTCAGTCATGTTGTTTTTACAAGAATGCATATTGCTATCATTCAATTGTACAATTAAAAGACCTGAATTGTATCTGTATAACTCCAGTTAAGTGGGGTCCTATCTGGGCATTGCTAAGTGACAGTTGAACTAGGCTTAAATCTCAGATAAATGAAATTGATTGAAGATTTCTGTTGTGCTTGTGTTAGGGCTGGTGAGATGAGAATATCTACATAGATAGAGTCTAAAAAAATGAATGCTGGCACCCAACATATTGAGACACTGTGTGTCATTGGATATAAATTTCTATTACTATCTCTGCTGATTGGCTCCTAAATGCTACCTGTATTTGTCTGCCCCTAGCTAATGTTGCTTTCTGAAAACAACAAATAAAAGTATTTCTGTGCTACAAAGATTTGTTGCTTGCTTTCGAAGAAGGTAGAACAGCAAGGTAGATGTGTTTTTAATACATTCATATAAGTCCTTATATCCGTTCATAATCAATGTATATTAGCAATATTGTTCCCATCTCTTTTGGTCTTTGCATCCATCAGTCTAAAGAAAATATATATATCAGGAGTATGAAAACACCATACTTAAAAACACAGCAGGTACAAATTTGACTGGTTCTGGTGGCATGGCTAGTTAGATATGATGAGCCAAGACATCTATTTTATATTTTATGATTAATGTTATGAGTAATGATTAATTAATGTTATTAAACATGAAAGTGCAGAGTCTAATGGCCATGTTTGAAGTCCAGTACCCCATAGTAACCAATCAAATATCTCTTAAATGATCACACTGTGAAAAAAAATAAAAGGTACAAGTCTGCTTTATAAAACTGGAGCAAAACTGGTGCTATTACCCAATGCAATCAGATTCACTTGAAAGATGAACTCCGGTGGCCAAGGGCAGTGGCTCAATTTTTACTCCATGTTTTAAAAGCCAGCTCCATTGAGAAACATTACAAACTTGCCTGTTTTCTAAAATGTTTAATTCTCAAATATATAAGTGATTAGAGTCGACAAAATACATATATTAGCAACAAAACAAATTGGCAGTACTGAACATGGCCGCATTTATTAAAGCAGACCTTTACACTAAAAGATCAAATTCCAATGCATCCCTCTATGTATGATGATTAATAATAACAGACATGTCAGTTGTGAAATGCTGTGATTTTGAAATACGTACACTTGCAAAGCATTCACTTCCTGCTTTGAAAGGGCAAATTACTTCAGTTTGGCAAAGCAATGCACACTGGGATTGGGACTGGGATCATCAGCAGATCATTGCTGGGAAATCTCATCTGTAATCTCACCGGATCTCAGGGAAAGGCATTTTCCTCCCCTGAGATTATGTGCATGGTCACATGTCCTAGTCACATGTGCCAGAAATCCAGGAAGTAATAGGAGAGCTAGTAATCTACCCTTAGTAAACATGGCCACTGTCAGAAGACTGGGGAAGAAAAGAGAAATAAGATATGCAAAGGATACAAAGCAGACCATTATCTAGAAGCATGTGTTTGTAGATTGCATTACTAAGCATTTCTAAAGGTGTGCTTGTTAGTATTTTAGAGATATGGGTAAAGGTCCACTTTAATGTTTCCTAGTTAAAAAAGGGCTGTTAAATGTGGATTGTGTGGGCCCAGGGCGCTTAGAAAAAAGTTTCATAAGCAGAGTGTTCTGAGATTTAACATCTACACAAAGTCATCCAGCCCCTGTGATGGAGGAACACAAAAGCAGCACAAGGTATAGACATAAAAGGCAAATGTCATAAATAACAAAAAGATAAAGAAAACACAGGAATATGGCAAGTCCAACACTGGACACACTATAGATCACGATGAGCAGCAGGGAAACTATATTTTAATTATTGATATGGTCCTTGATCAATGGTTTCGGGCAGCTGCCACATATAGTACTTCCATGTGTTTTTAGTTTATTGAGGTTCTCCAACTACAAGGCCTTTGTGTTGCCTACAGGAAATACAACCCAGGCCAAGTCACAATATGGAGGATTCCTTCACATTACTCTCATCAGGACAATTGGATAATGTTTATCTTAGTAAGACTGGATCATACTAAAACCAGGGATGTCATGGGTATGGGTTCAGTGTGACATATTGTCTTTTGCAAAAGAGGGTATGGTCTAGCAGCAACCTCCAGGCACACACATATTTTAAATAGCTTAGCAGGAACAAGACGGACATAACATAATTACATATATCAACTGATAAATGAAACACAGTAAAAGATCCTTTAGAACAAAGAACATGCATACAGCCATCATGCATCATGGCTGTTTCCCCACTCAGGCTCCATTAATTATCAAATTAGGATATGCAGAAATACTAGGAGCGCAAAACAAAAAACAGCAGCTTTTCCAATGAAATCCTCACTTTCCAGGTCACATGATATTGCCACATATGATGTAGCTTTCTCAAAACCAACAATAATCTAGTGGACGGCAGTTGAATAAAATATAAACTTTATTTTGCACGCCAGTTCTGTTTTTGATGTGCAGTATGAACCTACCAGGAGATGCTCTTCTTTGTAAAATAAATTGAATTCCTCCCGAGAAGGTCATTTCGCTTGCATGTTCAATACACAACAGCGTTCTAGTTCCCTTTATTATAAAAACTGTACACTAGGTATGCCTTTCTTGAAAATAACCTGAAACACCTTTGAATGCTTTTTATGTGACTTGGTCACTGCTAACAGAACATCAAATGATGTGACAATACATAGGCACTAAACTCCTGTATTCCCAATGTCCTGATGACGTGGGCTCCTACAAGAACTCCTATCTAGCAACTCCCATTCCTAACCAAGACACTAACACGATTCATGTGGCAGCCAGCCTTGATAATTTACTGATATGCAAATAGGCACATGATGATCCTACAAACATGTGTGCTCATGGGAGCTTGGTTTTCAGATGTCCTGTATTGGTAGCATATATTAACTTTACATCAAACAGCCCATTACATGCCATGGTGCTACTGAACAGCCCTTCATGACAATCACAGTGGGGTAATACAGAGATATAGCTGCATGCTGAACAAAAATATACAAAACATTTTTCAACATGATCAGTAAAAGGGTGGTCGATGACACAAATCTCCTGATAAGGTCAACAGAAACATGATTTTTATAAATTCCTTGGCCAATAAAGGATAGGAAATCAGTCTAAGAAGACAAGAAGGTTCATCCATTACTCCAGCAGCAGAGTTCACCGGTGCACCAACACCGAAGACGTTTAACATTTCTTTCGTGTCCCAGTGAAAAGAACCACACGTGTCAGAAATGCATTTTGTTTTATTTAATAAGGGCATCTGTCTTTTTATTTGAATTGATATTCTATTTTTCTCATAAAATGGTTAGAAAGGTGGGACTTTTCCCAAAAAGGTGGGTTTCATTGCTGCTGGACACAGTTGGAGGCCCTGTAGAGCACCTCTGGATGTTGATTCTGCTTTTCATAGTCTCTTAGAAAATGTGGAAGTTTTTCACTTGTTTTCAATGAGAGTTTGCACCTTATGTACAAGTTCACGGGCTATCCTCAGGATCAACTGTGCATCGTGATGTTCAGCCATTTCTACAAGAACAAGATGAAAGCACTTACATTAATTTAATCTACGGAAGCCAAAAGAATAAGGTGATTTGTTTGCTAAAAGTTACAAGAAACTATGGGGCATATTAATAAAGTAGTGAATGTCACACTCACCATTCACTGGTCATGAATAAATCACTGTTATTTTAAGCACCTACACCAGGAAGATTCATGTGCAGTGATGGTTTTGTGAATGTCAGATTAACTGCTTTATAACTATACCCCTATGTGCAATCTGGTTACTTTAAGTGCAAGTGCACCCTAAAATAATCAGATTTCAGTGCACTTAGCCTTTAGGTAAAGTGTTGAAATTAAATGTTTAAATAACTAACTGAAAAGAAAGAAACAATAAAAACTTAAAGTACAAGTCAGGAGTTCAATCTTAAAAATGCATTCAAGTATCTTAACTAGTAACAATAATGTACTTTATAACACACACAGGGACCATGAGGAACAAAAGTAGCCCCCCTCCAGAAGGAAGGACAGTGTAAGCACCAATTCAGAAATGATTTGAGGATCTACAGCTGAGTGATACACAAATAAGGTCCAGTATTGTTAATAGTTAGGGTACTTGAATGCATTTTTAAGATTTAACTCCTGAGTTTAGTCAGGATTCATCAAATCCAATCATCTATTGTCTTCTCAAGAAATTAAATTCCCCCAAAGCCCTGTACAATAAATAAATAGCATATCCCCATGTTTGTGGGAATTGTACTTCAGGATAAAACAGTACTTAAGTAGAGCTGTTGCAGCTTATCACAGCATACTGCTTACCATTAAAAAATTTGATGATGTCTGTAAAATCCATGTTGTTGTCTCGTACAATTTCTCGATAAACTTGTACCAAAGCTAAAGCAATGAAAAGCACAAAATGCTCAGAGGAGATGTGTCTGGCCGCCCATATAACTTCCCATACGGTAAACACATCTTCATATAACAGTTCTGTAGAACAGAAAGAGAACAAAAAGGGCATTGATTAACATGTGGAGGCAATGCAGAAAATATCACAAAAAAATACATTTCTCATAAGATTTATATAGCTAAACAAGTTTTTTTAAACCCCTATCCTCTTGTGGTAGACATGCCTCCCTTTCACCATCTTGGGAGAAAGAGGGAACTAACATGACATGGTACTTTCCAGAAAGATTGCCAGTAATGCATTGCCTTCTGTCATTCACCAGTAAGAAATATGACTGAAGGTAAATCTCTGTAGATCTGCACTCTATCTATAGGACATACTCCTGACCACTGCATTCTTTATGTTATATCTTATAGTACATACTTCTAATCAAGGTGTTTATTGTCTCACAGTTGCCAGTCACTCTATTTCATAAAGGTCTTTTAGGTTGTTTTCAAGTGCAGGGAAGATGGTGCACACCACTGATGTCACTGTAAACCTTAATTGCCATTCAACAGCCAACATGCTCATGTCCCTGCCCATGGACTGCTCACCACTGACATGTTTCACCTTCACAGGCTTACTCGTAGAGACCTTTTTCTTAGGTAGGCTGTAAAGTATTTGTAATGGAAAAATGATTGTGCTGAGTGTTATACATGTCTGTTGGTCTCTTGCTTCTGGCACTGTAATTATAGCATAATGTGTGGGTAAACTGCGGCATATGTGTGCTGGAGGGAGGGGGTGAGTACCTGTACCTATTCTCTGACAAAAAAAGCCCTGTGTTTTACTTTGTTATATTCCAGTCACTGCTGACACTGTCCTTTCTTCTGGAGGGTGGATATTTTTGTTCCCCATGGTCCCTGTGTGTTGTAAAGTAGCCATCTCTTGCTCTCATAATGGACTACAATCCCAATACAAATACATAAACTATACGCGAGATTGTAATTCATCATGGGAGTGAGCTTGGAGTGGTGGCTATTTTACAACACACACAAGGACCATGGGGAACAAAAGTAGCCACCCTCCAGAAGGAAGGACAGTGCCAGCACCAATTCAGAGATGATTTGAGGATCTACAGCCGAGTGATACACAAATAAGATACATTTTTGTTAGTAGTTAAGGTACTTGAATGCATTTTTAAGATTTAACTCCTGAATTTAGTGTCACTTTATTATTTAAAGTGTAAATCTGCTGTGTATAATCATCTCTTTGCTTATAATGTTACATTCAAACTTCAAGGAAGGTTTGACTCTGACTGATAGCTGGTTTCATAAATGTTTAGTGCTGATTAGTTTTACATAAAGGATGAGTTAAGACAAGTGCTGAGCAGGTAGGCTGTGATCCCAGTATTTTTTTAATTTTGGGGTTCAAAACAGTAGACCCTCCGATTCAATAATCTTGTATATAATCACTATATATAATGGCTATACAACAGAGGAAAACAATCCTAAAAACTAAAGATTGTAGCCAAAAAAAAGAGTAATACTTATTGTTAAATGTAAATGGTCACAGTGAAAAGAAGTGAGAGAATGCTGAAATATGCTGCCTAGCCAAAAAACAGTCACCACTTAGATTTAGCTAAGCAATAGGTAAGAGACTTCCACTGGATAAGTGTCATGATCTGGGGTTGCTTCAGTTGGTCAGGTCTAGGTTTAGCAAAGACCAAAAAATTAGGTCAGCTGCCTAACTGAACATACCGAATGACCATGATGGCACAGGCATATTCCAAGATGAGAATGCCAAGATTCACCGGGCTCAAATTGTAAGAGTGGTTCAGGGAGCATGAAACATCATTTTCACACATGGATTGGCCACCACAGAGTCCAGACCTTAACCCCATTGAGAAGCTTTGGGATGTGTTGGAGAAAACTTTATGCGGTGGATCGACTCTCCCATCATCACTACAAGATCTTGGTGAAAAATGAATGCAACTCTGGATGGAAATAAATGTCACATTGCATGAGCTTATCGAAACGATGCCACGGCGAATGTGTGCCGTAATCAAAGCTAAAGGCAGTCCAAAGAAATATTAGAGTGTGTGACTTTTTTTTGGGCCAGGCAGTGTATATCATCATGGTAAAAATATCCTCATGTGAGATATGTAATACCTCTTTTGAAATCAAGTAGGAACCAACGATAACAGAAGTAGAAATGAGTGTAGTCTCCATTCTGGTGCATGAGTTCAAACAGCTCCGAATCCAAAATCTGACAAAAGAAAATCAGTATCACATGTTAGATCCTCTTTCAGATCACTTCTTTGCTTTGTAAATGTGGACCTCTGCCATGACTGTAGTATGCTTGATGCATTAAGTAATGTAGGAAAGGGCAAAATGGACTCGGTGATCTAAAATGCACTCTACAGGTAAACAGTTGGGCAACGTGCACCTCACACATAATCCCAATCAGGTTACATGTCTAATACACAGTACCTAGGTAAGACAATGCCTCCAAGTATTATATTGAGTACACTTAATTACAGCTGTTTTGTAGTCTGTAGGGGTATTAAAGATTCTGACAATGATGACGTGTCTCAGCCTGATGATTCCAAGTAAAGAAATTCAATAACTATAATGTACATTCAAAAAGTTCCTCGCCAACCTATATCAAATTGCAACTATACCAACAAAGTAAAAAAATCATGTAAAACTAAATAAATACTATTGTCTCCTTTAAAGCGTAACTCCAGGCAAACAGCTAATTATACAAAAGAAATACATATAAGGTAGCTGTTTTATCTGCCAAAAGATTGCTTTTGTAACCTACTCCTAAGATTTGCACAGCTCAGCCATACAGCATAGCCCTGTGTGGAAGGGGAGGGAACTTGATTTATTTCTCTCATTCTGCTTTTTCCTCCAATCAGCATGTTCCTTGCACTACAACACATCTGATTGGTACCTTGTGCTGCTTCTTCCTCTTCCAGCCTGAGTTCTACTGTGCAAGGACTGCAAGCAACAGATACCAAGTCAAATTCAGATACTTACACTGCTTGCATTTATAAAGCTTCATTTAATGATATATTAAGGAATACAGAGTTGCATTTATTTGTGTCTTTTATATCTGTCTGGAGTTCAGCTTTGAATACATTAAGAATCTCTCTTTCAAGGAATGAATGCCTGGGTATTCTGCCAGTCCATGGTATGTTCTCCTGCAGGGTGACAATGTGATAAATTTCACCTGCAGTGTTGTCACACTGAGCAGTGGTGACTCAACTGTTAGTGCTGATAACTCTCCCACTCCCTACCAATCAGCAATGGACACATATTCAGTAATAAGATTATGTTCAAGAAGGGAAGGACACGTATTGACCAGAGCCAGGAGGAAGGTCCTAGAGGGTGCTCTGCATCACTTATTTAAGAAGCAGAATCCCCTTTTGGTTCCCTCGCAGCTCCAGCAGAATGAAGACCTCAATGATCCCTGTTATGACATCACAAAAAAAAGAATTACAATGCTCCC